CCCAATGAGGACAGACAGATCGAGCTTTACGATATGGCCGGTACTGTTGGAGCACTCAACACCAATCCATGTACAACAATCTCTTTCGTCATTCCCACTTCCCCACGAAGAGATAACAAAATCTGGGTCATCTTCTTCAGCTGCAAGGCTTTGCTTAAAGTCGAGCAGCGCTTGCCTCTCACTCTCTTTGCACTGAACTAAAACGTCAGCTTTTGCGGGTTTCTGAAGAAAAAGGACAAGTGCCAGAAATAGAACTAGGAGCAGATGAATGGAGTACTTATCACCTGACATTATAATCGTCCTGCCTGCCTTACAACGATTATGTCTCGTGTTTGAGTGCTGAGAGCTTAGACAATCCCCTCCTTAAAAGGAGGTATTGCATCGCAAATTGTTAACTATTTTGTAGTGGAAAGCAATATGTCCGGCACATGGTTAAACCACGGTCTTCATACCTTTAACACTTTCCTAATCGTGTTTTTGGGGCTATAAAAATATTTAAGGTCTTGGTCTAGTAACAGTTATTAAGTACTGTAATACAAAACGAGTTAAGTCATTATCACACTCACAAATGGAGGTGTCATTGTCACCATCTTAGACTTGGACAATTTTCTTCATTTCCTGCTTTTGCCTTTTCCCCGTTCATATCATCCAATATGTTTACAGAAACTAGCATTATATATCATTTCATGACAAAAATGTTGAGATAACCTGGCCAAGAATCAAGTCTTATATTTTGGAAATATAATTTGTCTTATATCCGCAGGTATATCAAGATATATATTATACATCGTAAGGGAACATGCAATTGACTGATGTCTGGTGTCATATATGGGAACATAATCTTGGATAATAATTAATATAATAGTAAAAAAATCAGATCATAAATACCGCATGAGTCTATTGTTCGCAATTTTTTTTTCTGTGCTTATTTTTGTTTTATATTATTTTATTATCATAGTTTTGTCTGCAACCAATTTTTCAATTCATTCCTATTATTAGGATTAAGTGTAAAATGTACTTGAACAGAGTCATCGTTTATGTTATGAAAATGTAGAGATGAATACTATATTTCAGCATGTGATATAAATTAATAAGTGTTGTTTTAATGAAATATAATTAGTTAATAATTAATTATAATAAACGTAAAGTGTAATAAAAAATAAATATTTATGTGAAATTTTTTTAATAATTCAATGGCTTTTTTACGCACTATGCCTATACTTTTCGCTTTTCAATGAAGAAAAGTAATTTAAGAAGAATCCAATTGCCAACTTATAATGCCTAAATTGAATTTAATATTTTTTTTATGTATATCTGTCTCTTAGGCAAATTAACAGCTTGTCCTAATTTATTAGCAAAAGTGAAGACTTGAATGTTAGAATATACCTTATGGTAAATAGTGAAACATGAACATTCATTTGTCACAATACACAAGAAAAATAATTAATTAATCAGCAACGGTTAGGGCTTTTGATTTGATTGTTTATTTGTAAGCGAATGAACATGAAAGTGTATAAGAGGCAACTGGTTTGGCTTGGCTCCCATTAATTTCATTCAAGAAAAAGCCATGGCAGAAATGGTAGAGACAGAGGACAGGAATTGTGCAATGAGTTGGGGCGGATATGTGGAAGAGCTGAAGAAGGCAAGCCGCATAGCAGCGCCGATGGTGGCGGTGACAGTCCTGCAATACCTTTTGCAAGTTGTATCCGTGATAATGGTTGGGCATCTCGGTCAGCTGTCTCTCGCTAGCGTTGCCATTGCTACATCCATCACCAATGTCACTGGCTTTAGCCTTCTTGTAAGTATACTCTTCCTTCCTCCCTCTCTTTTCGTTTCTGACAATTTATCTCTTGAACATCGAGAAAAAAGAATATGAGCAAACTCCATTGATGGGCCTCAAACTTTCACATCCGAACTTTTGACCGTTGCAATTTCAGTCAAGATAAAAAACAGAGGGATAGTAATAAACAGAGGAAGTCATATCCAAAATGTTTTGAATGTTAATTTCCTCAATCCTCATCACTCTGATCAATAACTAATTAACAGTATTACATGCCAAATAGTCAGGAATGGCTGGTGGAATGGAGACTCTATGTGGGCAAGCTTATGGATCGCAGCAATACAAAAAACTTGGAGTCTATACTTACAGCGCCATCATCTCCCTCATTCTTGTTTGCCCCACAATTTGCATACTGTGGATATTCATGGACAAACTGTTACCTCTCGTTGGCCAAGATACACAAATCTCCCACAAAGCTCGCCAATATTCGCTTTGGTTGATCCCAGCACTGTTTGCAAGCGCGATCCTTAAGCCATTGACGCGATATTTGCAAATGCAGAGTTTGATTCTTCCAATGCTCCTAACTGCATTTTCCATATTGTGTTTCCATGTGCCTGTATGTTGGACTCTTGTGTTTAAATTGGATTTAGGAGATCTTGGAGCAGCAATAGCCTTTAGTTTATCAACTTGGTTGAATGTGATATTGCTTGGGATTTATGTCAAGTATTCACCCACTTGTGAGAAAACTCGTTCACCATTGTCCAAGGATGCTTTTCTTGGTGTTTCTGAGTTCTTTCGCCTTGGTGTTCCTTCAGCTATAATGGTTTGGTAAGTGTTCTGTTCTTTGCAAACTAGTTTTTAATATTGAAAGATTATTAAAACCCATAGTTTCTTTTATTATGTTTTGTCTATCACAAATGTTTTCCTTTGCCATCAATTAATTAAGCCTTAAATGGTGGTCGATGGAGCTGCTAACTCTGCTATCAGGCCTTTTACCAAATCCAAAGCTAGAGACATCGGTACTATCTATCTGGTAAAGCTTCTTGGTATTTTTGTATTGACAAATTGGTCATTAGTTTGTACACCAATGATTCTGATTTCTTGTAGTCTTTTTGGTCAGCTTAACTATATCGACATTGCACTTCACTATACCATATGGTTTTGGAGCAGCTACAAGGTATTCACTAAATCTTGTTTCATTGACAAACATTAATCCAAGTTGATGCGTCCCTAAAATCAAGGTTGTGTTAATTAATTCACAGCACAAGAGTTTCCAATGAACTAGGAGCTGGGAACCCTGAACTAGCTCGGATGGCAGTCAAGGTTGGAATGTCCATGGCAACCACAGAAGCAGTCATTGTGAGCACAGCTCTCTTCTTCAGTCGACACATCATTGGATATGCTTACAGCAATGAGAAGCCAGTGGTGCACCAGGTTGCGGTCATGGCTCCTTTGCTTTGCATCTCACTGGTTACAGATAGCATGCAAGTTGTTCTTTCTGGTTCGTAATTTCTTATCAGTATTCTTCCTTTCATATCTTTTGTTGGAAGATAAAATTAATGAATTAATCTGATAAGATGATCGATTAAGAAGTAATGATCAAGTGTAGTGGACAGATTAATCTCTTATTAAATGTTTCCACCAGGAGTTGCTAAAGGATGTGGATGGCAACACAAAGGGGCCTATGTAAATCTTGGCGCATTTTATCTTATTGGATTGCCAATGGGAATCATACTTGGTTTTGTAGCACATTCAAATGGAAGAGGCCTTTGGATTGGAATAGTAGCTGGTTCAATTGTGCAAACTATCCTTCTTTCTCTTTTTGTTATCTTCAACAATTGGGATAAACAGGTTGGTTCTCATATTTTTCTCTTCTTTTTTTTTTTAGATTATCTATTATGGTCGGATCAGCTTTAAGTGATAAAATTTCATACATGTGGGTATTGTTACAGGTAGCCAAGGCCAAAGACAGGATAGGGAGATCTTCCATGGAGAATTAGTCATATTTTGGCTTTACCAAATGGAAAAGAACAACACCTACCAAAGTAATTAAGATTTACAAGTCCAATTAGAAGAGATAATGGTAAGGGAAAAATGTGGATTAAACATAATTCAAAATCATCCCTTAAAAGACTATGGAAAATTAATGATCCGTCAGCTCATTTACTTTCCATGGATGAGTGTATGTACGGCTAATTTAAAGGAACAAGCTTTCTTTTTTATGTCAAGTCAAGAAATTTATTGAAGGAAAGGACAGGGTGCAAAAGGAAAGACCGAAGAAGGTCTCTCAAGACCCATGGAAGGAAGAAAACAGAGGATTCCCTGTTTGTACCAGATAACGTAAAGCCTCCCAAGCATTTAAACCAACTAAAGCAGATGCACATGTGACAAACCGACCTCCTCCTCACAAGAAACCAATCTTGACCGTAGCTACAAGGATTGAAACAAGAACTTCATTCACCCCCACACTGTAAACATGTCATATCAGATATACCAGCCCTAGACATTACATTTTCAAAGAGAAAGTGCCAAAACAGCTATAAAAGAATCATATCTCATTTGCTCCATTTTACTGCTACTATGGATTCCAATTCCACAATTAATCCATCGTTGTTTTCCCAATCCGAGGAATCTCTTTGCACCCCACGTTGGCCTCTTAATTTTCTGGAAAAAGATTAAATCAAGCTAGCAGAGGGGAGAATTCAAGGAAGGAGGACGACACCATTTTAACACTCCATCCCACTATTTTGTCTTCTTTAACATGTTATAGGAATGTACATAAAGCTATGGGAAGAGGTCCATCTTTGAATAACATTGTTAGTTTTGAACTTTGAATATAACTCCTTTAAGAATGTTGGTTCGACTTTATTTCTTAATTTATTTTATTATTTTTTGTTTATATCATAATGCTCAAAAAAGCTCTTGAATTATTTAAGAAAATTTAAATAAATTTTTATTTTCTTGTTGTATTCAATCAAGATCTTATATTTTTATTTTTTATCAAATAAGCTATTAGTCATTAATGATGTGCAATGGTTGATTGTTTTGTATTAAATCATCTTATTTTGTGGATATTAATTTTATTATCTTTGTTATGTTAAATCTTAAATGTTAGAATTTAAAGATTAAAACTCTTGAATATTAATTTGATAGCTTGTGTGAAAGAAAATAATTATATGAATGAAAGGAAAAATGTTTTTTTATATGTTTAGATTATTGGTATATTTTATAATTATAGATGAAGTTTATAAATTTCAATGTTGCAAATTGCAAAGGACAAAAGTGATAAAATTTTGGTTCTTTTGGTCCAAAACTGAACTGATCAAATCAATTTGATGTTTAGTCTATTCGGTCTTCCTTTAAATTTGATTGGTTCTGAGATTTTCTAAAAATATTTGGTTTATTTGGTCTGTTCATATGGCGGACTAGACCACCGAATTGATCAATTGCTCATCACTATATTTAAGGATTTCTTTAGATATTATGCCTTGTTTTATTTAGGTATAATGCTCAAATAAGTCATTAAATTATTTAAGAATAATTAAATAAGCTTTTAGTCTTTTATTGTGTTCAATCAAGCCTTTATATTTTTAATTTGAGTCAAATAAACTCTTATGATTAATGATTAACTAATTGCCAATAGTAAAAAAATCACTTGTCATTTTATATTCATAAGGCGTTAACATGACAGTAATGTAAAGGGTGATCATGTTGTCATATCAAATCAATATGTTATGTCATCATCAAATGTGATATGTCAGCATGCCACATCATAATCAATTATAATATTTTAGTATGACACGTCAGCATCACACGATATAAAATGACATTTTGAGTAAGTTAATCATTAGTCATAAAAGTTTATTTGATTTAAAATGAAAAGTATAAGGACTTATTTAGTTTAAAATGAAAATATAAAGGTTTGATTAAACATAATAAAAATATAAAAATTTATTTAAATTTTTTTGAAGAATTTAAGAATTTTTTTTTATATTATGTCTTGTTTTGTTTATGATTCAGGTCATTCTAAGAGGCTTGTTTGTTTGTGAATCGTAAATTTGGGATTTTGTATTTGTATTTGTATTGATTGTGAGAATCTAATTGCCAATTGCTTACCTTTCTTTACGAACACATATGCAATGGTTGAATGTTAGTTACTCTTGAGGTTATTCTATGCTTTGTTTGTGTTAAATAAGTATATACTTAGCAACCCATTTCAAGTTTCCTTCCTTTCCTTGTCTTCGTATTTTCTCTCTGCATATAAGTTCGGTTTTTCTGTAAACATTTGGTCAGTTAAATTTTTTTTCCCAAATAATTGTTTATTTCAATTTTTAAATCTTTCAAATCAAATCAACCAAATCATTGTTGGCACAGTAATTGACTATAAGAGGTAACTTGTCTGACTTGGCTTCCATTAATTTGATTCAAGGAAAAGCCATGGCAGAAATGGTAGAGATAGAAGAAAGGAAATGGGCGGTGAGTTGGGGTGGATATGTGGAAGAGCTGAACAAGGCGAGCCGCATATATAGCAGCACCGATGGTGGTGGCTATAGTTCTGCAATACCTTGGAGTCTATACTTACAGTGCCATCATCTCCCCCATCCTTGTTTGCCCCCCAATTTGCATACTATGGATATTCATGGACAAACTGTTACCTCTTGTTGGCCAAGATACACTAATCTCCCACAAAGCACGTCAATATTCACTGTGGTTGATCCCAGCACTGTTTGCAAGCGCGATCCTCAAGCCATTGACAGGATTTTTGCAAACGCAGATTTTGATTCTTCCAATGCTCCTATATAAGTGTATTTTTCGTTTCGTGTTTCCATGTACCTGTGTGTTGGACCCTCGCGTTTAAATTGGATTTAGGAGATCCTGGAGCAGCAATAGCCTTTAGTTTATCAACTTGGTTGAATGTGATATTGCTTGGGATTTATGTCAAGTATTCGTCCACTTGTGAGAAAACTCGTTCACCATTGTCCAAGGATGCTTTCCTTGGTGTTTCTGAGTTCTTTCGCCTTGATGTTTCTTCAACTATAATGGTTTGGTAAGTGTTCTGTTCTTTGCAAACTAGTTTTTAATATTGAAAGATTATTAAAAATCATGGTTCCTTTTATTATGTTTTGTCTCTCACAAATATTTTCCTTTGCCATCAATTAATTAAGCCTTAAATGGTGGTCGATGGAGCTGCCAACTCTGCTATCAGGCATTTTACCAAATCCAAAGCTAGAGACATCGGTACTATCTATATGGTAAAGCTTTCATTTTGGTATCTTTGTTTTGACAAACTAGTCATTACTTTGCATACCAATGATTCTGATTTCTTGTAGTCTTTTTGGTCAGCTTAACTATATCGACATTGCACTTCACTATACCATACGGTTTTGGAGCTGCTACAAGGTATTCATTAAATCTTGTTTCATTGACAAACATTAATCCAAGTTGATGTGTCCCTAAAATCAAGGTAGTGTCGATTAATTCACAGCACAAGAGTTTCCAAATAACTAGGAGCTGGGAACCGTGAACTAGCTCGGATGGCGGTCAAGGTTGGAATGTCCATGGCAACCACAGGGGCAGTCATTGTGAGCACAGCTCTCTTCTTCAGTCGACACATCATAGGATATGCTTACAGCAATAAGAAGCCAGTGGGCACCAGGTTGCGGTCATGGCTCCTTTGCTTTGCATCTCACTGGTTACAGATAGCATGCAAGTTGTTCTTTATGGTCAGTAATTTCTTATCAGTCTCTTCCTTTAATAATACTAGAAGACAAAAAACCAAGATTATTTTTGTTGGAAGATTTTTCGGATAGAATAAAGGTAAGATTAAGCTATTAATTCGATAAGATGATCTGCCACGAATTACACTCCTTCGCTTAAGTATGCGATAGTTTATATGACATTTCAGTAGACGGTTCTACACAAGTCAACCAAAACTCGATTGTATTTGTTTCGACATTAATAATAATAACAAATCAGATTAAAGGAACCTATATTAGAATCAAAAGTCATATCGAATGTCATATATGCAATCACTTAATCATAAAAAAGAAAAATATTTTATTAATATGAAATTGATTACGAAGGGTCCAAGACTCGCCATCGTTGGGCCATAGGGGCAACCATAGATGTTTTACTACAAACATACCTTTACCTAGCCCAACAATCCGTCGATTACTCAACTCCTATAAAGAGTTTATGAGATTTTATAAGAATTTCACCAATAACCATTACAACACTTGAAATGGGGATATTTTTTTTTAAAGGATCTCCCCTTCTAAAGACTTAACAAATTTTTATGGAGATATCACCACAAGATGTTACATTGTTTGAAAGTGGAACACCTCCCTTACAGGTATAAAGGATTCAATCTCCCAGACAATTCTCTGCCATCATAATCTGATACAAAGTTAGCTCATGACATCCTTCCTCACTTAATCTATCGATGTCTTCATTGACTGGTTGGCTTGAAACTCTTCAATTTTTTACTAAAAGGCACATAGGTCGGTTTCTTTTTCCCGCGTGATCTCGTTAGTGATAAAGTTTAGTAGACTAATATTAATGTCTTATTAAATGTTCCACAGGAGTTGCTAAAAGGATGTGGATGCCAGCACATAGGGGCCTATGTAAATCTTGGTGCTTTTAATGTTATTGGATTGCCAGTGGGAATCATACTTGGTTTTGTAGAAAATTTAAAGGGAAGAGGCCTTTGGATTGGAATAGTAGCTGGTTCAATTGTGCAAACAATCCTTCTTTCTCTTTTTGCTATCTTCGCAAATTGGAAAAAACAGGTTGGTTCTCGTATCTCTCTCTCTTTAAATTATCTACTATGGTTGGACCAGCTTTAAGTGATAAATGTTCATACATGTGGGTGTTGTTTTAGGTAGCCAAGGCCAAAGAGAGGATAGGGAGATCTTCAATGGTGAATTAGTCATCTTTTGCCTTTGCCAAAACAACACTTACCAAAGTAATTAAGTGTTAAAAGTGACAATTAAACATAATTCAAAATCACTCACAAAAAATTAATTCTCCATGCTGCTGGGAGTCTCGAGCTGATAAGGCCACAGGCTTGCATTGGCATTCCGACTATGAGGTTAATATTCACTTTCAAAAATGAAAACTCATGATCAGTCGACTCATTTACTCTTCATGGTTGAGTTTATGAAGCAAATTTAGAGGAAAAAGCTTTCAAACTTCAAAGTACACTTTTGAAGTACTAATATTTAATTTGTGTATGTATATGTATGTATGTTAAATTTAAATATAGCTATTCAAAGTGCAATTTTTTAGTTTTTTTCCTTGTTTTAATAAAAAATGTTATTATAAATCAGGTTAATTACATAATTGGCACTTAAATTACTACTAAATGTTCAATACAAATTCGAAAGGTAATAAGTATATAAGAGATTCAAAGTACTTCGCCATTAATTAAAATCATAAGGTAATAAGAATTTCAGTTACAAAATTAGATACATTTATTCTTAATGAAATTCAGTTATTCTTTCTTAATTTAGTAGCATTAATTTCCATTTTGTCAAGAACCAAACTTTTTTTAGCCCAAAAAATTGAGAATTAGTTGAGGGATTGGCAAATTCCCTCAACCTCCCACGTTTATGGAAAAAACCCATGGAATTTGATTATGTAAATTTGAATTTAATATAGCTATTTAAATTAGTATTTTACACCAATACAACTAATATGGAATAAAATATCATAAAATTCAATTTTAATCTAAAAAATAAGAAAAAATGATCATGCAATGAAATGAACTTAACATTTTCGAATATTGAAAATACTTGAATTTGACTTAACTTGTTAGTTATGTCAAAAGGATCCATACTTGATGATTTTACTTCATCTCAACCCAATAGGGGAAATTTTTTTTTTAATTTGAAAATTGAGGTAGAGACTAGATTTTAGAGCTAAAATAGTCGAGTTTGGTCAAGGAAGGATTTAAGGCGCTCCTCCTCCCCCCTATCGTTACCATCTCTACAAGGTTACTTGATTTATTCAAATTCAATTTTCCATTAAATCAAATATGATTAATGACATTTGTCAATTTTGACTCGTTAATCTCATGATTTTATTTTACAAAAAACACTTCATTTGAAGATGGTATAAGTTTTTAAATACTCAATTTCATTTTAGTAAACAATTAATGTAAAATAACTCCCCATTGGGATCATGACATCTTTCTTGATATAGGATTAATGGTTTCTCGATACAACTGTTACATTATGGATATAATTTTTTCTCAATTAGCACGTTGTTAATAACTTCAATTCCCACATAGAGTTAAGCTATTAATTTTATACAATAAAGTTATCAAGAATATTAATTGAAAAAAAAAAATTCATAATGTGTTTGATATCACAACTCTAGCGAGAAGACATTGATCTCACATCGAGAGGATGTCATAATTTTAAGAAGAGTGATGAATTTCAGATTAAATGTATATTAAAAATAAAATTATATTTAAGGATTCATACCATTTATAAATTATGAGATGCTCTTTATGAAGATTAAATTGTAAATTCAATAAGCCCAAATGAACAATGCTGTTTTGGAAGTTAGTGTAGACCGTGACAATGGTAGAGGTTGGCTGTGTACTAAAATGGCAAGTGTGGTTTTCTCGTAATTTTATTGTAAATGCCACCGTGGAAGTGCTGTATTCCTTAAGCGTCCATACCCAAGAATATCCACCTGACAAACCAATCATCGCCGTCCACGCCGTCCCTACCCCTTCCCTCATCATCTAAACATCGTCCTTTTATTAACTACAATCCAAACGATCTCCATCTCCCCGCAAAAGGTAACAGAAACATTTCCAAATCCCTCACTCTCCCCATGGCTGCTGCTACGTTTACTTTCTCTCCAATTACTGCTCCTGCTGCCGCCTCTTCTTCTTTGGTTTCCGATCGTAGTATCTCCATTAGATTACCGGAATTTCGAGGTCTCAAGATTAAACCGAGGGCAGCGTCGGCGACTCAGGCATCCAGATCGGTGAGTCGGGATCCGCGTCGACCCGGTCGAGGTGGACGTGTTGTTTGTGAGGCCCGGGGGACGGCTGTTGATGGTCAGTTTCGTTGCTTCATTTCATTCGGCTAAATTAATTTGTTTTCTGTTTTTAATTTTGTTATTGTATTTTTAATTTGATTGTTTGCCGGGAAAGTGAAGGAAAGCGGGAGCAACGAGAAAAGATTATTTGGTGTAAAGGAAAATGAGATGAGATTTATGCAAAAGCCACACCTTTCTTACCTGAGACTCTCACAAAAGCTTAGAATTTTATTGCTTTGTAAAGCAATAAACGACCTGAGCGCAACTTTAAACTCGGTTCGTTTATTAGGTCAATTTTACTAGAATTCACTGGTTGTGTTTGTTAAAGGTGGCAAATTCGTATACGGTTTAGGGAGGGAAGCAACTCTCACCCATCCCATAAACCCCTAATTCGCCTCCTCAATATTTGAAATCGAGAATCGGTTGAAAGTCTTAAAGTTCTAACCATTGAGGTGTCTACTTAGCTGTGTTGTGGTTAAGTGTTAGAGGAATTGATTGGCTCTCATTTTGTTTACCAGTGCCCATGGTTAATCTTTTAGCAAAAAGCATGATGGAGTTTGAAACTCTTTTCTATTTTCTTTTCGGCTTGTTCACAAATGAATGTGGGAAGGAACAACAGAGAATACAGATTATTGTTTATCTTCGAACTTAATGATTAATGGTCATTCTTGTTTTCGTGGATTCTATCTTGATTGATGTGGCCTTGTCATTGTATTGAGAACTATTGTTTCGTGAATTATTTATATCTTTTTGCTTCCTCTTGAAACCTGCAGTGCCATCTGTCAAGGATGATACATGGCAGTCTCTTGTACTCGATTGCGAATTGCCTGTTCTAGTTGAATTTTGGGCTCCATGGTGTGGGCCTTGCCGTATGATCGTCCCCATAATTGAGGAACTGTCGAAGCAATATGTTGGGAAGCTCAAATGTTACAAAGTTAACACTGATGAGAGCCCTTCCATTGCAACTCGATATGGAATTCGAAGTATTCCAACTGTAATGATCTTCAAGGGTGGACAGAAGAAGGATGCAGTTATCGGCGCTGTTCCCAAATCCACCTTGACAACCTGTATTGAGAAATTCTTATAGGGTGTTAAGAAAATGTCACTTTTTTCTGGAAGTCAAGCTCTTTCTGGTGATTTCTTCTGTTGTCAACTTCCAGTGGCTCATGTTAAGATACTCTGCGTCTGAAATAAACTCATCTGTCTCTGTATAGTTATCAGAAGATCCTGTATTTTCTCTCTTTAAGTTAATGTTAATTAGTTATGTGCTTATTGTTTGAATGATTTTTTTTTTGTAGTTTGTTCTCATGTTTTCCAAATTACCGGTTTATCTTGAAGTTTACCAACTAGGAATGGGCCTGTGGGCTGCTTGCAACATGGATAAATTTTTCGTGAACAGGGAAGCAAAGTATCTGCTGGTGAGTTGACCTCTTTATTTGCTCATTTCCCTTGTCCACTTGCAGAGGGAGCAACAGGCCTGAGATTAGAGGTGTTAATATTGGCCGGCTTGGCTCAGTCTGGTCCAAACTCTTGTAAGTCGAGAAAATATGAGTTAATGAGTTAGGTCGGATCATATATTTTTTATATGAGTTATCAAAATTTCAATCCAATTCATTAATCGGGTTGGGTCAATGTATTTTTTTTATTTTTACAATTCTATTTAATAAGTTTTTTATTAATAAAATTATTTCATGATTAAATTCATAAATTGAATAATAAAAATATATTACAAACAAATAAATTACATAAAAAATAAATAAAATTTTAATCATTAACACAAACTATAATCTCATAAATATAAGTATATAATCAAATAAATAAAAACTTCAAAACTTATTTATATCCTCTTCAATTATCATCAAGCAAAATATTTGAATTTTGTTTTGGTAGCAATGTTGTTTCAAAGTCTAATCATTATAATTGTATCATCTAATATTTATTATCATAAAAAAATTAGATAATTTTAATTTTAATTAAAATTATTAATTTGATAAGTAAAAATTAAAAATATTGAAATATATAAAATAAATAATAATATTGATAACTAAATTATTAATTTTATATAATTAAATATATAAAATTATTAAATTAATTAAAATTATTAATTTTTTTTTTTTACTTGCATGGTTGGCTCACCACAACCTGAGACAGCTCACTAATTAAATGGGCTAACCAATCAAAACCCTGTTCTAATATGAATTTAAATTTTTTAAACCCAACTCACTTAATTTTTTATAAAAAATGAATCGACTCAATGGATGAATCAGGTTCATTTTGAAAAAGCTACATGAGATGTTCTGGTTGAGACTTGATGCTGGCTTTTTTTTCTTTTCTTGAACATAAGAATAAAGGCAAATCTTGTCTAAATAATCTTGATTTTAGATAGAATGATAAGGCGTTTGGTACGGTGATTAATTAACAACTAATGGTCAATCGGCAATTGTTCAAATTGTCATGTATGAGCAGATCCTCTCGTTATCATCGACCATGTGGAGTAAAAGACTGGGTGATGGTAACAGATTTTAGGCGTAGGAATTTTATGTGCAGAACATGAAGCACATGTGCAGAACATGGGATGTCTAGGAATTTGTTTAATGTTTATACCACTTGATTGATTTGCCCAATTTATACACTGGAATGTTCTCATTAGACATCTCTTCTAGGGATTAATCCTACTTGATAGGCCCTGGATTTATATGGAGAACCCTGAAGCTCTCCCCAAAGCAGTACTAGTGATTGCCTATGAGCAGTCTACTCTATTATAGTTACCATCAGGGTGTTGATTCTTCTTGAAGACAAATTGTAAACATCTCAAACTACTAATAACCATGTCTGGTTAATGGTGTAAGTCTGACATCCTGATTACTTTATAACCTTTAATTTCCTGTTTGAATTTCCCAACAATTTTTTATCTTTTATGTATGTATATGGGTAGGTATGATAAGTGAGTTATATCAAAGCTCGGTCACATAACCCTCTATCAAGTTTATTAGCAGCTTAATGTTTTTGTATCAAAGTAAGATTCATTAAGAAGACACAGAGAAGATGATCAGGACAACTGTAGATTTCACATAGAAGATTCATTAGAATGGAAAAGAAGAGGGGGGTTGGCGGGGATGGAAGGGAAAAGAGGTGGTTGAGGGGGAAGAGAATAGGAAGGAAAATTTTAATGGAAAAAGAACACAAAATGCTTATAGCTTTCAGAAGCCTGTTTATGAGCACATTGGGTCTCATAAGCCCAGTTAGTATAGAATTAGCAGGCACTTCGAATTACTGGGTTAATCTTTCTCTAATTTATTAAACTAATTTTCTTATCATTTAAATTCTTGTAAAACAGCTGTATTTCTATCCATGTTTTCCTCATTTCAGCGTGGGGTTTGGGTTTGACACGGCGGTGGTGACAGGGCTGTGCTGCTTTAAGATAATCATCCCACGTTCTTATCCTTTGAATTAGGGGGAAGCTGACATCGAATCCCGAATTTCTGTACAATCAAAATCCCTCTGTTTGAAATCTCTCCCCTCCTTGAACTTATCAAAAATCAAAACAGTAAGATCATTGAAAATATATGAATTTGTAGAACCTTCTTCATACTTCACTGTTGTGTTATAGACTACACTAAATAATATGGCAATACCATTTTTTTTTTTTTGAAGATTAACCACCTCTTGCTTTTTCTTTATTACTCATCTAATTTATGTCCATTACATTTGCTTGAAAGTAATGTTATATTGGCTCTTGTTTGTAAATTTATCATTTTGGGATTAATTGTATAATTTAACTTAAAAGAGTATGAAATATATATATATATATATATATATATATATATATATATATATATATATATGAAGCCAAGTCCACATGGTGTTGATTCCTTGATTGAATAAATATGTTAAATATATATGCTATGGTTTTAGTTCTAAGGCTGCAGACATGTCCATTATTACTGAAGTTGATAGCTACTTTATTATTAGTTTCGTGTTCCAGGCCCCCACACCAACTAGCCGACATCAAAACAACACAGGGAAATCGATAAGAAAGAAAGAAAAAAAAAAATGAAACAATGTAAGAAATAATACTTGCTTTAGAAAAGTCTACGTTTAAATCACTGGTTGATGCCTAAACTATTAGGCTAGATGTTAGGCCTTTAAAGACTTAAATAATTCAATTTCAACCTTGCATATATTTGGATCAAGTTCATGGGAACTTTGTTAGGTTGGTTTGATATTTTGACAATAAAGGTTTGAATTAACTTTTTCGACCAAACAATATTTAATCGAGAAAGTCGTAATATAAAATTAGACTAATTAAACACAATGTATAGTAAGAATTAAATATGATAGATGAACGGTTTAGGAAGTACTCGATATCATTAATAAGGTTTTATTTGCTTTTTAATGAATGTATTTTAAAATTATAATTTTATATAACGAAAAATTATGTATTTAAATATTTAATTTAATAATAAATGTATATATATATATTTTTCTTCTTGAAAAATGCTATTCCCCAATGACAAAAGTGTGGCTTGAAATGCATCTAGAATATATGAAAAGAAAACGAAAAAGGAAAAAAAAACGTTGTTGAACAATCTAATAAGCTTATTTCCACGTGTAACTCACATGGCTGCCTACTCATGTAGTTCTCTTGTAACTCAAAGATTGCTTTAGTTGTTGGATATGATCGTCTAGTCAGCAAAAATCGGAAAAACTTAATCTAAAGAAAAAATAATTATTATTCCAACAAATATAAATTTTTTATTGTTAAACTTAAGGTCAAATTAAGCTATTTTATTTTATGTTGTCACATTCTTCTGGATAGTCACTAGCTTCTAGTTCACGACCCAAAGCTTTGATTTTGTTTTGATTTTTTCTTCATTGCTGTAATTAGTCAAGTAAAAATTGTAGAATTTTTCTAGTAGAATGAATGCATAAAAAATCCAAGGTATGATCTCACTTCAATTATATATCTAATTAAGAGTCAAACCTCACTATTTATGGTGTGTCAGTGTAACTTCAAGGAAAATTCTCACTCATATTTTTTTTCCAATTGGAAAATATATTTGGTTGTGAAATTTGGGGAAAAAAAATCCAAAATGTCACTAGCTAGATATTATAATAAGTAGAAAAACAAAGTTGTAATTAAGTCATATATATTTATATATTTATATATATGAATTATGACTTGATTTTTTATTCAGTTTGGTAAAGAAATATTTGTTGAGGGGGTATTAGGTGAGTGCCAACTAATAATTATGTTTAATCACTCGAGTTTAACTATAATGAATGGGGGAAATTTGGAATTTGTATATTGATTTTAGGTAGGTATCATTGTTACGAGCCTATACTGGTAATTCAAAATTTATAATTATTAGATAAAAAAATATTCTTATATATAATTGCCAGACTTATCTCTCATATTTATAGATGTAGGTTACATGACTTTTTAAGACGTGGGTTAAGTGACATTTTATCCAATCATCTAATTATGCAACACTTTCGTTGTATTAATTCTTTTCAGAAGAGAGAAACATATTTTAATCTGAATCCACTTTGATCCTAATATTTTTCATAAGAGTCTTATATTAATAAAAGCTTAGATAAGTTTTAATACAACTTATCACAAGTCTATATTTTTAATTCAAAAGATATACACATTAAGTGAAGAAAATTTCTTATAAGCCTAAAACCCATCTTATATGTTATTGACGAGAATACACGACAACATATGTCTAAAGCCCATACTATCTATTATTGATTTGAATATGTGACAATAATATGTCTCTAAAACTCATCTTATTTGTTATTAATGTGGATATCGGATAACAATTAGCCCTTAAAACTCATCTTATTTGTTATTGACGTGGATATGTGACAGCAATATACCTTTAAAACTCATCTTATCTTTATTGATGTAGATATGTGACAACATACATTTAAAACCTATTTTATCTATTACTGATATAGATATATAATAACAATACACCTTTAAAACTTATTTTATTTGTTATTAATGTGGATATGTGACAGTAATGCTTTTAAAACTCATTTTATCTATTATTGATATAGATATATGATAATAATTTGTTTAAAACTCATTTTTTCTGTTAATGATCTGGATATGCGATAACATATTTATTTTATTAAATATTTATATATTTTTGAATTTAGTAATATTTGGTAAAAAATCATATAATGATTGTTTATTTTGTTTTTTAATGAAATTAGAATAAATTTTAACTTTTTTTCCTTAACTAAATGAATCTAAAAAAGGAAAATGGCTAGGAGGTGTCAAAATAAATAAATAAAGAAAAGAAAAAAAAGAAAAAGCAAAATCCACACAAAAACAAAGGCGGACGCGGCAGCTGTTTCATTTTCACCCACTGGAAAATCAACCAGAAATCAAAAAACATAACAACACGTGGGTGCCCAATTTTGCCTCTATAAATACGAACACGTCTTTTCTTCTTTGTCGTCTCCTTCCCCTTAATATCACCCTCATCAAAAGCTAAACACAGGAACAATCCAATTTCTTTGGTCTTTTGTTGTCTCTTGAAACAATCCTGGTTTTTTTATTAAAACCCAATTTTCTCTTTGGTCTGTTTCAGCTTCTTCTTTACTGGTAAGTTCTATCTCCATCTCTCTCCCAGGTTCTCATGCTTTCTTTCTTCTTTGGCTTTTTGTGGGTGTCTGGTTAGATCCTGTTTTGGGTGTTTTTGAAGGGGTGAAACTTTTTTTATCCTTGGCTTGATTTTACATCTGGTAGGTTAAATGTGGAGATATATAATGATAGAGGAGGTTTTTTATTTATTTATTTATTTCGGGTTTCGGGTTCTTGAATTAATTGCCTAATTTAAAGATAATTTTTTTCTTGAAAGGGAATTGATTGAAAAGAAGGATGTGATTTGGTAAAATCTAGCTTAGATTATTGATGCTTGTTATATTAGTTTCATTGTTATTACCTCAAGAATATTAAGTTGACTTTCGAAAATTAAATATGTAACTTTTTTCTAGATTTTTAAAAAAAATTTTCATTTAAGATTTGCTGTAGAAAGATTGTAATTGGAACGATAGTATTTTGATGAGCGTAATTAATTGTGATAACAGCTTCGTTTTCAATTTTTTTGAGTTTTGAAATTGTAACAAAAGCCAATTCTTATTGCATAATGTATCTGTTTTACATTGGTTCCTTTTCTTTGGGTTGCATATAAACTCTGTTTGTTTGTTTTTTTTTTTCCATATATGACAGAATCAATTCTATATATGAAGTTGTTCATTTGATTTCATATTTTTAATTGATTCTTCAACTCTGGTAATAATCCTTAATTTAACGTGAATTGTTTCCTTTGTGTATAGAATTCTGCCAATCTTAGAATAAAATGTCATGTTCTGTGATTTGGTGACTATTTCTTGTAATTTGATAGCACTTCCTTATATTTGCTTCTTCTAATATGGGAAAAGAATTAGAGGGAACAGGTATTCTGCCTTTTCAATAGCGAGTTGTGTTTGATTTAGTTGAAGAGCAAATAGTTTTTCGATAATTTATTAAATTGGGGAAAGTTAGCTTTCTCATCTTTCTCTCCCATAAATAAAGAATAAGATATGAGGAAAAGAGAAAGTTGTCTGCCATCAGAAGTTCCTAATTGGGAATCAAGAAATTGTTCAGTAGATCAACTAATAAAAGCAGTTGGCTTTGTTTCCTCTTAAGCTAAAAATATATTAAATTAACCATTGTTATCTGGATCTTCAACTTAAATATTTAAGATTTTAAGTTTTAGCTGATGGAGAAAATCATAGTAATTTTCAGTTCTTAAAAGTCCCGTTCCTTGTTCCATTTGTGATCCTTAGATGTGTGTGGGTGTCTTAAATAACAATTGCATTCAACAACCTTTTGGTGCTCTGGCTTGAGGGGGAGAGAGAGACAGTGCCAGCTCATAGGGCTCATCTTAATTTATGTTGCTGGTATTCAAGGCATCATTCTCTACCTTCCTTTATTGTGGTTACATGAAGGTGGAGGGCTCTTTGTTATTATTTTGTTTTACGCATCTTATTGATGATTGGTGGGTGAGCAACCTCTACCTTCTGCTTAGTAGTTTATCTATTTGAAGCCAATCTGGCAGGATCATATCTCTATATCCTGTTTTATGATTAGTTTGCTTAGAATGCTGTACTTATCTGTTTCGCTGGATGCTTTAGAAGTTCTCTTTTATTTAGGAGCACCCTGATAATCTTTGCTTTTAGACATTTTTCTGTAAATAATTGTGCTTGTAAGAGATAGTTCCTGCAATCTACTGAACATTTTGCTTTCATATTTGATGTAGGGAAGTGATATAATCTAACCTCTTTCTCTTGTCTGCGTCTGTATTTCAAATTATCCTCTTTGTGATTGTTTTACCTGTGTGTACTTACATCTAAGCTGTTTACATCTTAACAGAATGGCTATGGAACCAAACTTCTTTGAGCAAGAGGCGAACTTTGAGTCTGATGGAGATATTTTACTCAAGCAGAAATGGAATCAAATACCAGCACCTACAAAAGATTCGGAGAAGGATGCTGGTGGCTTTGATTGCAATATTTGCTTTGACTCAGCACAAGATCCTGTAGTCACCCTCTGTGGTCACTTGTACTGCTGGCCATGCATTTACAAGTGGCTTCATGTCCAAACTTCTTCCCTTGATGCCGACCAGCAACACCAGAACTGCCCTGTGTGCAAGGCAAACATCTCGTCGAACTCATTGGTTCCACTCTATGGCCGTGGTACATCTTCAGACTCTGAATCCAAGAATCCTCAGTCAGATCTGGTCATTCCCCAAAGACCACCTCCTTCTGGATTGAACTCAATAATCAGCTCCTCGCATCAAAGTCAGCGACTTCGTGAAAATTTTTTCCATTCTCAGTCTCAGTCATTTCATCACCAGGGATACTTCCCTCATGGAGGTTATGCAACCTTGGCATCATCTAACCTTGGTGGTATTGCGATGACAAATTTCTTCAATCCAATGATTGGGATGTTTGGGGAGATGGTCTATGCTAGGATTTTTGGGAGCTCAGACACAAGCTTGGTTGCTTATCCTTACCAAGCTTCTTACCCTTTCTTTGGGAATAACAACAATCTTAGGATGAGAAGGCAGGAAATGCAGTTTGACAAGTCCCTTAGTAGAGTATCTATCTTTCTTTTCTGTTGCCTTATTCTTTGTCTTCTCTTGTTTTAAAAGAATTAGCTTTGAGTTTGTATAGTTGTAAAAAGATAAGTCGATGAACAAAACCAAACAGAGTTATTGTTAGAAAATTTGTGGGGAACTCACTTGTGAGCTTTCTTCCTGAGATATTTGTATGTATATAGTACTATCATTTTTCAACAATTGGGAATGAACATGCTTCCTATGATTTTATCATACTTCTGCTTGTCCTTTGTCAAATTAGTTTCAATAAGTAGACGCAGGTGCAGCTAAACACGTTCTTTGATGGTTGTTCCTTACATGGAAGGTAACAAGTTAGTTTACTCTTAACTGTTGCAGAAGTTTAAGCCTCAGGTTTGGACACCACCATTTGAATCCTCCATATAGAATAGGAAAGCTCCCTTAGTGGAGTTTGGAATATTCTCTTTTGTGAAATTCTCGAGCAAATCAAGTATCATTGAGTCTTATAGGAGATGAGCTCCCCAGGCCACAGGTTTATTGTCCCTACTGACTTGGAATATGCAGTCTGTATGCCACTGAAGTTTCCACCATTATACCATATTCCCCCATTTGCTTAGCTCCGTTCTTTAATTTGTTTTCGCACATGGAATGGAATATGGCAAAGGGGTTCGCAATTGGATTTGTTACATAGGGAACAAAGTGAAAAAGGGGAACAATTCAACTGGAAAGAATGACCTTTGTTCAAACTTGAGACCTCTAGATTTTCCACCTAAAATTTCGTCACTAAAGCACTCAAGCCAAGCCCTTGATTATAAAAACTTTCGTGGATGAAGGGTTTCTTTCTTTCAATCTTTATTTATTTGGGGTGGTTGTGTTCCATCTGTCGACGAGAACCGACTATTCAACTCCTACACTACATAAGTATCTATTCATATAGTATACTAAAAAAGAAAGAACGCCCATCATAATTGGTGCCATCGTCAAACTTATTAAGGGTAATAAAAGGGGGACACAGTTCAAGTTTGACTGTTCTAATCTCTGTTAACTTCAAAGACGTATTCTTTTCCTTTGATATCTTCCTCTTGAAAGTAGTCTTTCAAACAACCTTTTTGACATGACTACGACGTATACAAGTTAGATTCCAATTCTGATTTTCTTCTAGTCGGTGATGCATACTATTATCAAATTGGCAGACTCTGTTACCTATCTTTATTTTCCCTGTGCCTTACTTGATGAAGTGATTCACACGAAACAAACAGGAAGTTAACACTCATTTCTGTTTTTGATTTGCCATTGCAAATGGCCCATACTTTCTTTTCAATATGAATGAAATATATTCTTCGATTTTGTGCTTTCTTTTCAGCAATTGCAAACCAACATTCTCAAGATTAGACAAAAGAGCAAAAATGGGGGAAAAGTCTCACTCTCTTGCCCGCCACGTGCTTATCCAACATGAATCATGCACCTATTTTATTTCTTGGTATTTTAAGTTATATAAGAGAAACATATCATATCCTACAAAATTTTAATCCAAAACATTTTAAATAATAAGAGTGTTTGGTTAAAAACCCATAATACAATTCACATCATGACTATTTTTCCGATTCAAAAAATCAATTTCAAGATTATTACTATATTGATTAATGAAATTTTATTTAAAATTATGAAAAGGTCTATTTTCAAAAATATTTTATGTATGAAATCTATTTTGAAAAAAACCCTTTATCTTATTACATCATAATCTTATCTTATTTAACGTTATCTTCTTTTATTTTTTTTCAAAATACCAAAAGTCTTTACATTCATATATCACCCACCTAACTATCAAAAACCCTAAGTTTTTTTTCAGCTTTACATGCTGTCCAAAAATCAATAGAATAAATATAAATGTATACGTAATGACATGCTTAGCACATTCTGCAGCTTCCACCAAAAGGAACAGAAAACACTTAATCATAACATATTATTTATTCAAATCAACCCTATTGTTTTCTCCTCACATTTGAGTCAGTTGTGGGCCTCTCATATTATGTAATCATGTTATAATTTTCAAATTTGATTATTAGTTATTAGTATATATTATGTAGTTTTCAACTTCGTCATGGTTTATGAGCAGGAGAAAAGTATGTGAACTATATTTAAAGAACATAGTCCAGAACTCAAATAGCAGCCATTAATTCAACAGATAGGTGCAACCAACCAACCAGTCAGTCAACATAATGAGGGAAGTATCTTATTTCTACCTAAAAACCATAAATGCAACTAATAAAATTTTATCAGGAACCAAAAAATATCATATGGTCCTTAACAATTTTTTTATTGCTTTATACATAATTTATTTATGATTATACGATCATCTCATATAAATTTAGAGTCACACTCTAATCTTTAACATTTTGAATGAAATCTTAAACATTCTTTCTCTACCGTATTCCGTTAATGTAACATTCAATAAATATATATTACGTAAAAATTGTATATATCTCACGAGACTTATTTAAATTTGATAACAAAATTTAATATACAATCATATTTAAAAATAAAAATGATTACATATATATTGTGTGATCAAGATTATCTAATCATAAATGTTAATACAGTAAAATATATTATACTACAACTAAGTCTAGTGGGATTGATTATCCAATCATAAACAATAATTCCAAATGAAACTGTCATAAATTCCAAACAGTTCATTGATCTCTGACATAAGAACTAAGTTTATCACCGACAGACAGCCTTACAAAAAATAAAGTAGTCTTAAGACAAAAGTATATCATCATTAACCATCACATGCACTTGTTCTCCTTTTGTCTCGTAAGATTTGTCACCCCTCAACGTACAATGCTTCCGTACTTTACAGGACGTGCAAAACCGCGTTATTTTTCATATAATTTCTTTCTTTTTTTTCCTCCCCATTTTTAACCAATTCTTTTGAAGATAATGCAATTGAGAAAAAAAATTAATTAATTAAATTTTAGATCACCGACAAACCGCGTTTGGAGTCTATAAAATGGAGGTTCTTGCTTCAAGGAATCATGTGTGTTAAAGTTTGTTGTTCATTTGTTTGGGGAGAAGAAGAAACGAAGAAGAATGGGGCCTGTCATCATTCCTTCTATTTTGCTTTGGCACTTGTTTTTCTCTGGCAGTACGATTCTTGAAGGAGTCAATGCTCAAGTTAATGGTTGGGTTAATGCTCATGCAACTTTCTATGGGGCTGACCAAAGCCCCTTCTCTCTTGGTAAGCCACACTCTCTCTTTGGGGTGCCCACCCAATTATTAAAGTGTTTCGAAACATGCACACATTTGATTTGGTTGCATGATCATGCATGCCATGAGCCGATAGGGTTTCTTCAACTTTGGTCTTTACAATTTATTTTATTCAATATTGATATGTTATTATAGGAGGAGCTTGTGGATATGATAACACCTTCCATGCTGGATTTGGAGCTAACACAGCCGCGTTGAGCGGTGCACTTTTTAGAGAGGGTGAGGCTTGTGGTGCTTGCTACCAACTAAGGTGCGATTATAGGGCTGACCCCAAGTGGTGCCTCCGGCGTGCTAGTGTGACCATTACTGCCACAAACTTTTGCCCTTCGAACAACAATGGTGGGTGGTGCAATCCCCCTCGCCATCATTTCGACATGTCGATGCCTGCCTTCCTTCGCATTGCCCGGGAAGGCAACGAAGGCATTGTTCCGGTTCTTTATAGGAGGTAATTATCATTTTGTTTGATGAGTAAGAATTTATAGTTATTAAGTTGGGTGATTAATAATTTCAAAAGTTTAAGGCGATAGAAAAAGGTTTGATATATTATATAAAAATTTTAACAGTTTCTCACGTGCAAGTGAGATGAATGATTAATGAGTTTACATGTTAACTTAATTGTTTTGATACTTTATTAAATTAGATAGTCCATTGTTTTAAAATGTTAAATAGATTGGAAGAACTCAACTTTATATTTTATTCTAACAATTGATTTTATTATGTAGTTATACCATGATAGGTGATTTCCAAACTAGAAAGATATATACATACATATATATATATATATATATATCTATATATATCACTAAAATATAAGAGACATTACCAACAATTATGTAAAATACCAATCATTTCATGCAAATCTTACAAGCTTCATAGTTTAATCATAATTTGATTATCATACATAAAATGGGTGGTTTAGGATTCAACTGGGAAATATAGAGTTTATATAGTCATTACATGACAAGTTTTTGTTCTTTGTTTTTGAAGGGTTCCATGCAGGAGGAGAGGTGGAGTCCGGTTCACCTTGAAAGGGCAATCAAGCTTCAACCTGGTGATGATCTCCAACGTTGGTGGCAGCGGCAACGTAAAGGCGGCATGGATAAGGGGCTCGAGAACAAGAACATGGTTACCTATGCATAGGAACTGGGGTGTCAATTGGCAAAGCACTGTTGATCTCAGGAACCAAAGACTGTCTTTTAAGCTGACTCTGGTCGATGGCAAAACAATGGAGTTTCTCAATGTTGTTCCTTCTACGTGGAAGTTTGGACAAACATTTGCTTCGCCTCGACAGTTCTACTAGCTGCCTAAAGAAATGTCCTAGAAACCATTACTTTTTACATTGATGGTTTTAGGGTAAAAATCATAATGACATAAAACATGTCATTGAAGCTTGTCTTTATCTTGTAGTTCTTTAAACAAGCAGGCATGGCTCCGAAAATTGGGAGCAATATGCTTCATTTTTAATGTTTTTTCTCCATACTTTTGTCATTTTTGGGGGGACAGATTGTATTTTTTATTATAAAACATTCTAAATAAAAAAGATTATCAAAGGGCTGTTAAAAATAGTCCTTTTAACTTCTTTATAAGCTTTCCAATCTTTGCTATATTCAACTGAATTCAAAACTTGTTAGCTTGAAATTCAACTCAAAATATCAACCACAATACCAGTACTCAGAATCAAAATCTTTAGCCTCTTCTTCACCACGAAAAAGCCACCGGATAGCAATAGCAACGGGTGGATAAGCCAAAATATGTTATAACTTGAAAGAATTGTATATTTTAAATTTGTATCAATAAAGAGTCGTTAATAAAATTTTAATTCAAAATCAATTATATTGAGACAAAATTGAACTTACCAATTGAATTTTTTATCTGTCCATGTATATGCTAAACTAGTAATTCTAAATTTTCAGCTATGCTAATAATGAAAAACCCCTTTCACCAAAATTTGATGAGTCTTACATCTCAAGATTTGATTGCATGCATTCTAATATTTGACTTAATGATAAGTATATGTACTTTTTACTCAAAGAATTGAGTCTAAATCTTCATCTCAAAATTCAATTATCTGGAAAACAACTTTAACATCGAGTAACACATTAACTAAGGTTCTACCAGATACTAATTGCTCAAAAAGACAAAAAAGAAAAAAAAACTTTCCTAACCATAACTCTTTTAGATGTTTTAGGACAAATGAGATCTTTGAATTTTTATTTTAACACTGTTATGTTAGTGATTTATAGTTAAACATGCAGGCATGGCACCTGGAAGTGGGAGCAATACTAGCATCCTTTTGGCAATAAAGACATATATACAAATATAATTTGATTGAAAGTTTTATAATTAACAAGTAAACTTGAATATCAAGGGCTATAGACTGAAATTTGATTCAAAGTTTTGAAGCAATGTGCAATTCAATATTTCTCAAGCATATAAGTACAAATTTCCAAGATATTAAAGCTGACTTATAGTAAAGATATCAAGAATATATATTGTTGGTATTACCAAAGGAAAAGTTAAATTTTCCTTGTGCATTCTTTTATGTAGTGTTTTGACTTTAATGAAGTATTCACATCCATAACAACAGAATCAAGAGAAAAAGCAATATATTTTGTGCCAAAACCAATGAATAATAAGAATATCCATAGCAAACATATCATAGGATTTTTTTCATAATAAAAATAGCAATAAATAAAACCAGTCCTGAGGGTACACTGTATAATAGCTAAAGATCTCAGCCACCTGGTTGCCCTTCCTATAAAAAAAGATGTAATTTGAACCTGTTCAAGCCAGTTCATAGAACGAGGCAGTCCCAAAGATGCAGCTAACCAAAAGGTATAAAGGGTGTCCTACAAAAAAAGAAAAGGAGAGCAAATGAAATCAGTTTCAATTATAAGGTTCCTATGATGGTTTTGCTGTAATGTAAGTAAAATCCAATTAAGGCTATATATGTTATACCAACACCAATTACAGAATCAGAATATCTTCTGTTGCATACTTCACAAGAATTTTTTTAGTTAAAGTATTATAAGTATCAGAAAGGGGAATTATTAGGACTTACTCGATTGGAACATATGGTTGACATTTGAATTCAAGTTGACAAGTCTTGGAGCACCTTGGGATCGTTGATAATTTCTCGTCAACAAGGAAAGTTTCCAACACGGAATCATAGGCAGAGATCTTCATTGTCTTCAACAAGCTAGCATTAGTTAAAATGTATTCTATCAATTGCAACTCATGTTCAGACTCTTCAAATGCTCTCAAACAAACTGTTTCGAGGCTTGACAGAAAGCATATAGGAACATGCTTTGGCAGTGTCAAGGTGTTTTCATATCTAGAGCCAAACGAATTCTGGAAGCAGACAAAATATACTAACGATTAGTATCATGGTAATTAGTTAAGCAACCATTAACCAGTTAATATATATATATATATATATATATGTACTGACCTGAGTACCCTCACTGAGAGTGAGTTCAAGAAATTGAAGAATATGAGAATTTTCCAGGAAGAGCAATAGCAAATTCCAGTTCTTTAAACCAACATTTAGCTCCAATCGAACCAGATTAACGAACAACGGATTACAGTCGCGGCCCTGACAGAGGAGACATATATATGACAATAAGCATAAACTATAGGCAATTAGCAAACATTGTTAAAACAAGTCCTACCAGTTGATTGGGCCAGTTAAGCACTGTAAAAGAAAGAAACTTGACACCGGAGAACACTCTTAAGAGCTTGTTTGCGTTTTCGCGTGAATGAACATGCATATCTGGTCTAAACATCCAATAATTCCTTCGTAGGATAACATCTTTAAGATTCAAACGGTCGAGAGCTGGAGCATTAATCTCGAATGAGTGGTCTCTAAGTCCTGAATCGTACTCTATGGACAAAGTCTTCAATGTAGATATCGAAACATTCATATGGATCCCATCATTACTGTAAATTCTTTTTATAAGCAATTCCTCAAGAACTACGCAACCAGAGAAAAGATTGGCAACAGAAGGATCATCCGTGTACTTAACCGACGAAAGATGCAGGGTCTTGAGATTTGGAAAGGAAACTCCGGAAGGAACATCTACCAAAACTCCATCACCCAGTTTCAAAACCTTTAGCATGTTGATCCGATTGAAGAAGTCCCTTGGTAAATGGAATGTGTCTGTTTCGTAGGAGTAGATATCCAATTCTTGCACGTCTCGCTCTGTTGCAGTGCAAATACATGTGTGAGCGCACGAGGCATAATCTGGATTGCATTGGATACGGAGTTTTTCAAGAGAAACTGCTTTGTTAATCCGTAAAACATTCCTCACAAACTCAATGAACATTTCCTGATTGTCGCTGCTGTCAAAATCGAAATCGGGTAGATCGATGATAGGAACCAAAGTCCAAAGAGGACGCCATCTTTTGGACAGAATGGAGGTGGCCACGGCCTCTTCCGTTGAAACAAATGATAAAATGCGAACAACGATATCATCTGGCAGAACACTGATTCTGTCAGATGATCCCTGGCGTTTCCTCGTTGTGCAGGTTTGATCAGGGGAGTCGGCCATCAATGGCAAACGGTGGATATCAAAGAGAAAGATGTTTGCTAGGGTATTTCTACAATTAGACTAACAAGTCAGATTATAAACCCTAAATCCGATCATTAATCCTTGTAGTCTCACGATCATCATCACCCTACTAAACTTATCAAGTTCAATTCAATTTTTAGATATCGTTAAGTTATAGATATATGGTATTTTTATAATTAAATTATTAAATTATTATTATGTATATTAAAAGTAGGAGTAACTTAAATTGCAATATAAAATTTTTTATAATTCGTAATTTTTATTGATATACATAATAAATGTTTATCGAAAACCAATTTAATGATATATTTTTATCCTTATCTTTTCTTTATGTATGATGCTTATCTATCAATCTATCTCATATATATATATATAATTTGTAAATATATAAGATTTCTTATCCAAAATAAAAATATCAAATTTGAGTTGAAAAGATATCTCATATATATACTCAAAATCCACTTGGTTCTATATCAAATATTATATAAGTAAAGTATGAATTTTTTTGTTATACTAGGGAATACAATAAAAATTAGTTATATTATTGTAGGCCAAGATATACCTAGATTATCTACAAGTAAAAAATAAATAATCCTAATGGGCGGAGAATAAAAAATATGAAGACCCGTAGGTAAATCCTCATTATGAATTTTTTTTTTTGAAAGTAGTAAAGTATGAATTTTAAAACTAGGTATATTATCAATCCGTTTAATTTAATGAAAAGGCCATTCATACTGAAAATTGTGAGTTTGTCACAAGACTTTGCTATGACCAATATTATACCTCAAAAACAGAAAAGGTAAACTAGGAGATCATTTGGTTTATCATTGAATTTATTGAAATTTCAACTTAATTAAAATTTAATTACTAAATTTTTATTTAAATTTGATTAAAAATTAATTTTCAATTCTCTATCTTAATTATTAATATTTATAAATAATTTGAATTTGTAATAAAAAATTAATTAAAATTAATATTTATATATTAATAATGAAAATGAAATTAATATTAATTCATAAAAATAAATAGAAATTTAAAATCATATTTAAAATAATTAATAAGTTTTAATAATTATTTTATTAATTTTAAATAATAAATAAATTAAAATTTAATGTTAAAAATTATTATTTATAATCGAATTCAAATTGTAAATATTATATAATTATTATTTACATTTGCAATAAATAATAATTTTATAATTTGAATTTTATTAAAAATCATATTTTATATAATTGGATCGAATATTATAAAATATCGGACTATAGAATACTTATTATTATCATCGTAATTTATCACATGTAGAGGTTTGAGGTTTTTTTTTTTTTTCAAAAATGTAGAACAAGTTAAAAAATATTCACAACATTTATTTATAACGTTTGGGCTCAAAAACTCACATTAATTTGCTGGCTCATTGTATTCCATCAACTTCCTTTGTCGAATCAATTTCGGCAACGAAGTGCCTTCCCAAACCTGTAAAGAACTTAAAACCCTTTGCTTCAAGGGCAGCAGGAACCTTCTTCACAATCTTAAACGACACCAAGATCAAAGCTTTTACAGCGAATGTAATCTTGGCAAGAACAAAAACGTACTGTTTCACACCAAATGCAGAAAAAAGTAACCACTTTATGCAAGAATCAATGCTGTAGTAGACCCAAGTTGCAGTGTAGCTCCGGTTCTTCAACAGTGGGTTAAAGAAGGAAGAAATGTCAATGAATGGCTGCTGCAGCGTATCATCCGTGACCTACGTGCCCGTAGGTGTTATAGTCATGCCTTGGAGGTAAAGGGAGTTTACTGATTTGAGTCACTGAATGAGGTTTTTCCGGTGCATAGCTTATGTATTGGTTGGTTAGAATATGGAGAATGATTGCTAAACTAATGAAAAGGAAGGAAAAGAAAATTTGGGTATTTTGTTTTTTGCTGTTTTGTCATTGAAAAATATTGAATCGAGGTCAATTAAGCTTATTTTTAGTTGTTGAGAATAGTTAGGGAAAAGAAAATGTTTTGTTTTTGTCTTTTAATGGACAAGTGATTAAGGTTAGTTGGGGTTTTAAGACAGAGTAGATTAAAACTCATGATTATAGTGCTGGCATTTTCTTAGGAAACCTTAATTGGTAGGAATTGATCTGAACATTTACTAAGGGCTAAAACTTCATATGTTATCCAATTTGTGGCTTTCATATTTTTCTCAATAAAAATGTAATACAATGAGCCACAATTTCATGAGAAACTAAGTTACCGTCGTTCTTGTTCTATATCAAACTATGATCTTAAACTCAATAGTAGCCTACCTTAGCATTTGATTCATTTGTGAAAATTTCTTTTAATTAAAAAGAATATTTGTTAGTCAGATTAATCAATGCAAAGAAAAATGTTTTTTCCTTCACTTTTTCTGGCTATTGAAATTATCCATAACCAATGGGGGACGATGCATTCCCGGATGAAAGATTAAAGATGTGGAAGCTCCAAGATCTTTAATGATATTCTTTGTGGATCTTGACCATGAAAGACATATTTGAGACTAGCATTCAATAATTAACATAGGAATAAAAATAGGTAAGGTGCAATATTGGGCTAAGTAGTGAACAAGATTTTTCAGGCCCGAATTCAGTTCAAGATATTATCACATTAATAAAAATTTATTTTTATTTAATTTTTTAAATATATTTAAAAATGTTAATATAAAAGTTAATTGCTTTTCCAAAAATAAAAAATATTAAACGGAACAATTTGCCTTGAGTTTTAAAGGTGTCAGCCGAGCTTAACTCATGAACACTTTTACTGGCAATATAAATAAATAAACACTATACGATTATGCTATCATATCAAATTAGCTTTTTATGTCATCATCAATTATGATATATCAACATACCACATCATCATCAATTATGATATGTTAATATGACAAATGACATTTTAATTAAATTAATCATTAATTATAAAAGCTTATTTGATTGAAATTAAAAGTATAAGGGCTTATTTAGCTGAAAATAAAAGTACAAGAGCTTGATTAAATATAATAAAAATAAAATAGCTTATTTGAATTTTGTTGAATAGTTTAGGATTTTTTTTGGATTTATGCCAATAGATAATATGAAACAAAAGTGATAAAGCTCTTTGTTAGGACTTTTTGCTATGTAACATTAGTACAGTAGAGAGTCCAATTCTTGATGCAGCTTACAAAACTCTTACTCTTTGAAGAATTCTCATTCCAAATCCTAAAAACCCAACAAATATATTGAAATCAAAAGTTAAGGATCATGATTTCTTTAATACCATGGGATACACTGCAAATGACAAAGGTAATTTTTTTTAATATTTATTGATAAAACTAGATTTTTTATCTTCCTAATAAGGAGAAGGAGATGGCGAAATATCTTTGTTAACTAAAGTGCACTTATTCCATACTTGTGCACCCCTTGATAAGATTTCTGATGTATCATTATCCCTAAATAAAAGATTTTGAAGAGTTTTCTTGATGAATGCATCATGGCAAAATTGGCCAAGTCTTATAAGCTCAATGCAACAATTATCCGTAACAATTCCTGTCTTGAATATACTTGCAAAAACTTCAGTGACACAATGCAATGTCATCTTAGTTTCACAATTATTTGCCTTGATGGGATCAACATCATAAGCCATGACCGCTCCACTTGCCATGATAGTCAAAACTCCAAAAACCACATAAACATTGAAACTTGCCATTACTACTCAAGGAGTAATTGTTGTCTCTCGTTTTGGTTGGCAGAATACTTTGGTACTGCTGCAAGAATTAGTTTGCTTGGAAATTGTTTGTTTATAGGATAACCATGAGGGAGGAGTGAGTAAGATGTATTCAAAAGAGTTTTAATGAGATTTCAGGTTCAATAGAATTAAGTTTTCAGTTTATGAATTAATTTGCTGAATCTTAAACTGCAAGTGTTTCTTTATTTGTGACATTAATGTAGCAAATATAAAAGTGCTATAGTTAGCCTTCCATGTGATTATTACAATTTTTCATTAAAACAAGAGGTTATAATTAACATACTAATTAATAAGTTATTAACCTATAATTTTTTGGACACATACAATCTTGGATTATATAAACAAGAGATGATCATCTTTCTTTTATAAATCTTATTCTTTTTTCAATCTTCAAGTCTATACCGTTTTTTTTTCAATATTGGAGCTTGAGATTTTCAATTACAATTTCAAAACGAGGCTGAAAGCTGATTTTGTATAGGGTGGGTTTCACTTGGTAAAGAGGGGATTTTGGCAGGTTTTGAATAAGGTGGTTATATTTGGGTCAAATTCAATTTAATTTTGCTTAAGTTTTAGCTGGCATATGTAGAAAATTAGTCGAATTCAATTAACAAGTTAAGTGAAAAAATGTAGAATTCTCAGCACAACTATTAAAAAGTGACAAGGTTTAGGACATTTATCATAATCTTTGTTAAATTCTAATTCCTTTGCAAACCAACTGCTGTAAGAAGAATGCATTATGCTCTGGTCTGAGGATGGAGCTTTGAAGTTCTCTTAGAGAGGCTATGGTAGCTTTGTTATTATATAGTTGTTGTTGGTCTTTCTTAGGATTAACAATGAACACATTAAATTAAGAAAGAAGAAATAAGAGTTATTTATTGAGAATCAGCAAATAGTCGAAGAAAGAATAATCTAATAAAATTAGATTATAAATCTCATCTACACATTCTATAAGAAACGAATATAATTGAAATTATTAAGAAACAAATACAATTAAGAGTTTCTGCCCTTTAGTACCTGATAAGGTGGAATACTTATAAATGCTATTGAAGTTGAAATGTTTTTAAGATTTTTATAACGTCTTTCCTCCTTTTACCTTATAAATGAATATTTTCTTGGCAAATCAGTTCTTGCAGTAATACAAAAGTATTCTACCAGCTATCAAAACAAGAGAAGCTAATATTCCTTGAGTGAAATGGCAAGTTTCAACCTTTATATTGCTTTTGGTGTTTTGGTGATTA